ATTAATGCACCCCCTCACTATACCCCCAAATAGGCTCTTTCCTAATACATGTTTTTGCCTCCTTTCTCAAGAATTAGCTGTACATAGCTTTGTCAGTCCATTTCTGGGTCCTCTGCTCTGTTGCGGTAATGTGCCTATTTGTCCCTTTCTCTTGTCTGATTTTAGCTAAGACTTCATGTACTGTGTTAAATAAGACAGGGGAGTGGGCGTCCTTGTCATGTTCACGCCCTGTGGTTGTAGAACAGAAAAATCAAGCTGGAGCTGAGACAGAAGGCTCTCCCTGCCGCTTAGCTTTCATAATGCTGGAAGGTGCTGTGCAGGTTGCTGGGCGGGGTCATCAATGGTCTTATCCAGGTGGATCCTGTTTGCTACAATACCGACCTGCCAGGTAAAATGTGTGGATAGTGCTGCAGCAGTACCACTGGTGAAATGGTGGCAAGACTAGTAAGGAGTAAGACCCACTCTAGGAAAGGGATCCAGGCCTAGTACTGTGAATCTGGTCAAAACCCATGACTAAGGAGGGCATACACTGTACAAGAACCTACTACTGTTGTTTTGGAAAATGGACATGTTGTGAAGCTGCCTTGTAAATATTTATTATATTTTTATTTTTATGTGTATGCATGTATTGCTTATATGTATGTAAGCATACCCATGTCATGTAATGCCTGTGGAGGACAGAAGAGGGTGTCAGATCCCCTGGAACTGGAGTTACAGAGGATTGTTAGCCGCCATGTGGGTGCTGGGAATTGAACCAGAATCCTTTTCAAGAGCAGTAGGTGCTCTTAACCACTTGGCCATCTCTCCAGCACTAAATATTCATTCGTTCATTCGTTCATTCATTCATTCATTGTCTTTTTGAGAGAGGGTCTCCCCGTAGCCCCAGCTGGCCTGGAACTCACTATTTAGACCAGCTGGCCTTGAGCTCACAAAGATCCACCTGCCTCTGCCTCCCAAGTGCAGGGATAAAAGGCGTGCACCACCACACCCAGCCTAAATATTTATTTTTATACCTGTAGATTAGTGCTGCTTTCAACCACAGTCATAGAAACTTTTTTTTTTGCAGTAGGTTGTGATTAATGCAGAAATACATAACTGATTAAAGTACTGAAAATTAGTAAATGTTGGTTGTTCACCGTAAGCAGGGAATCTTTATTAACTACCACCCCTAGGCTCAAAGAACATATCAAAAGAGGAGGCAGAAAGATGTAAACGCTAGAGGAGGAAGAATGCTGTGAAATACTGTCTTCTGGGTGTGACAGGACAGTCTACTCGTGAACTCACAGCAGCTGTGGTTACTTGCACAAGACTAAGCCTGGCAGTGTTCCAGCATGCATGAAGGAGGGGTTCGTGAGGCCCTACCTCTGAGAAACTCTGAGCAGTTAATGGCTGCTGTGGGGCGAGTCATTTCCTTCAGTGGTGTAGTCATGGTAAGTTGCCCAGTTCCAGTAAGTAAGCCCCACCTACACTCATAAAAGCAACCTTACTTAAACTCAGTGTAGTATTTAAACAAAAGAAACATGCATGTAGCACATGCATATAAATCCCAGCACTCAGAGAGTAGAAGAGCATTAGGAGTTCAAGGTCATTCTCAGCTATACAGCAAGTTCAAGACCAGGGTAGGCTACAGGACACTCTGTTGCAAACAAAAACAAACAAAAAAGGCAAAAGAATTGGAAAAGAAGCAAAACTGGCATTATGAAATGATTCCAGAAAGGATTACAAATAAACTTTAGTGATGTTGATAGGTTCCAGAAGGTCTACATACAAGTTAACTGCATTTGTTTATGTATTAGCAACATGTGACAAACAAGACTACCATTTAAAATAGCAAATAAATCCAGACAGTCTGCACATAGTTCTACTATAACATGTGCAAGAAATTTCTAGAGAAAAATGTAAAACTTTGTTATAAAAATTGATGTAAGCGCCACCAGGAAAGATAGATGTGTGCATGCCATTCACCGAGCCTAGCCCTATGCTGTGTGAACACCTTAATGCTTGCCGTAGGTTTTTCATTCCCATGTTAAAATGAGTAGATTCACGCTCTACAGATAAGTAGCTTTTGCAAGATCCAAAATTTCTAACCGAATGCTGCCTCCCTGGGACGCAATGTAGGTTCCATCCAATATAATGTAAATTATGGTATATTTCTAGTGGCTCAGGAAAAATTGTTGATTGTGGAACTTCTTTCTGCACAAACCTGTCATGCCAGCACTGATTTTAGAGATAGTGTTTCTTGAACAGGAAGCACTGACAAGTGGATGGAATTCATTGTGTGCTGCTGATAAGCTAGCTCTGGTTTGGGCGGTTTTTCATGCCAGGTCCAATCCAGTTGAACCAGTGGTAACTCCACCTTGGACATGAGCCAGCATGTCACTAACCCACAGTTCTGTGGGCAGAACAAGGTGGAAAAGCATCCACAACCAGCAGGAACAAAGGAGGAGTATACTGGTAATTCACTTCCAGGGCCATGGAGCAGACTGGAGCTGGCTCCAGCATCTTGGTCATGTGGAACCGCCACCCTCCCACCCCTCACCCCCCCACCCTGCCCCAGCATATCAGAAAGAGAGGGACTTCGTATTTGGATCCCTGGAGATTTTTATCTTTGTCTTAACTTTTGTAAGAATATTAACGACATTAGCAAAAAAATATGGCATTTATCAGAAGTAGATGAGCAGGCCTTAATGCCATCATGTGCAGTGGCCAGAAGGCTGCTTTGACTGTTTTCCATCAGGATAAACCTGGGCTTCTCAGGAAACACAGCCTGATCCCTCTTGTGTCCTGACTCTCATGACTCTGCCTTCACATCCCTGTTGAGAGGAAGTAGAGAGCGAAATCAGATGAGGAGGCAGCTAGGGGGTAAGAAGGCATGTAAATGGTTAAATGGTCTGTAAGCTTTGCTTACAGTGTAAGTTCAGCATAAAAATGTGTGCTTTCCTTCCTGCACACACCTCACATACTTCCAGCAAGAAGGGGCAGAAACAGCATGATTGGACTTTAAATGAAAAATTAGTTTTAGTCTAGGTATCTATACCTATCCCAAGTGGCCATAAAGTGAGGGCAAAGTATCAGCAATTACACGATGATTTCAACATTGTTTCCTTCCACTTCTTTTTCAGGAACGAGAAGATATGAACACTTGAATTTAAAAAGTCAGTTAAGAGGTTAAGATGTATTGTGTGTACACACAATAATAATATTTTTTAATATGTGGCCAGTGAGATTGCTCAGTGGGTAAAAGTGCTTGCCATACAACCCTGATGGCCTGAATTCAATCCCCTAGAACTCACATAAAGGTAGAAGAAAAGAACCAACTCCACCAAGTTGCCTCTGGCCACCACACACATGCTATGTAAATGTGCACAGACACAGATACACACAGATAAACACATATATACACATACAAATACATATTATTTACTTAATAATAAGTAAAATAAAGGTCTTTTTTAAAAAAGAAGAAAATGTCTGCAGCATAGGAAAGAGGAGAGCCAACATAACAAAGCAGTAAAGGGAGCGAGCCCCGGACTTTGTGATAGGAGATCCCAGGATTCCTGGAATGCCCTGACAGATTTGCTCTGGAGCAGAGAAGGCTCCAGGAAAGCTGCTTCAGGGTAGACCAGTGGGGATCAGCATCGTGGGGAAAATTGACAGAGGTTTGGTGTAGAATTTCTATTCCTATAAGATTTCCTTTCAAATGTCATGTGTTTCTTGATTCTAAACCTCTTCTCATTGTCTTCTGTGGTCTCTGCATTTCACAACAGGTCCATTCCAGAGTACTCTGGAATTCACACCCCCTCCCACTCAAGCTGAGTACTGGCTACTGACCTGGCCCATAGCACACTACAAAATGATGTAGCCGTTTCTTACACTTAAGTGAGTGAATTTATTGCTTCAAGAAATGTAACTTCCTCTCTGAAGTTCCGTTTCCTTCTTCAAATCTACCAAGTCAATTTTATAGCTTCTCTATTTCTGCATTTTCATTCTGTATAAATGTATATTTTTATATATATATATATATATGTATTTTATGGGTTTACTTTTTTAAATGGTTAGTATGAATTTCATATCTGTCTCCAGCCCTCCGTCAGTCTTTTATTTTTTCAGACTCTTATCATATAATTGATTATTTCCTTGCTTTGGATGATCTTGTGAACACGACTTTGTTTGGTGTCCTTCTGACAGGACTTGTACTGGCTTCCCTTGTAACTGGGCTTCCAAGAGTGTAGAGGTTTCTGTGTCTATGATTGAGGTTCCACTCGGGAGGCTAGGGAGTTTGTTCCTGTGGGTGGGGCTTCATCATCAGGGAGTCTGGAGGTTTTGTGTCTGATGGAGGTTTCATGTTCCTGAGGGCAGGGCTTCATCGGGAATCTAGAGGTTTTTACTCTCAAGGCAGTGCTGAGGCTCCTGGCTTCAGACCTAGCTAGCCTTTGTTTGTTGTTTGCTTTTCATCGATTATCTTCCATTATATTCTTAATTTTTAAGTGATTTTGTATCCCATGGTTTACTTTGTAGCAGTGTTGGGTTTTTTTAATTTTTTTTAATATTTTTATTTTATGTTTGTGAGTATATTGTATGTAAGTGCACCTATGTGGTGCAAAGCCCTCAGAAGTCAGAAGGCGGCATCAGATCCCCTGGAACTGGAATTATGGACAGTCATTCACTGCCACATGAGTGCTGGGACTCGAACCAGGTCCTCTGCAAGAGCAGTCAGTGCTCTAACTGCTGAGCATCTCACCAGCCCCTGTAGCAGTGTTGTTTACTGACTAAATTTTTTTAGGTTCCATGAAATGCTTTTGAGAATATGTGATTTTAAATTGAACTTCACCTGAATTTGTGGTGATGCACATGTCTGATTTTGAGCCTTCTCTGTGAAAGCTCTTTACTTCATTTGCCTTGATTGATCCACTTAGGAAGATGACTACATTGGAGTTGCAGTGAAAAATCCAGGCATCTTGGTTTCTTCTTAGAAAATAAATGTGAATGCTTTTTTACAGGCTCTGTCTTCTAGTGCAAGATACCTATGGGATGCTTGGTGAAGTGCACCTGGAAGGCACTGTCTGGAGGAGTAGACATTTAGAAGGGAAGTCCTGCAGTGTGACAGGGATGAAGGTTCTGCAGAAGACAACAAGAGGACGGTGAGGACGTGCTGGGAGGACATCCTCTTCACTATACGGCAAATGGAAAACAAACTTTTCTGCTCTCTTATCTCTAATTTTCCTTTTAAAGACAGTAAGTCTGGGACATCCCATGCTTTGACTATAAAGCAAGGCCAGAGGTCGGGTCCCACAAAGTCCCCCTAAGGGGAAGCATAATTGACAATCAAAAAGTTATATGCTGTTCCTGATTCATAATTTTGTTGAAATTAAGAAGGTAAAATGAACTGGGTGTGGTGGTACAAGTCTTTAATCACAGCACTCAGGAGGAAAAGGTAGGCAGTTCTCTGTGAGATCCAGGCCAGCCTGGTCTACATAGCAAGTTCCAGGCCACCTGGGGCTATAGGGAGACCCTGTTTCAAAACAAAAAGATAAAATGGGGATAAAATGATAGCTTTTTAAGCATTTATTTATTCCACAGATATACTATTACTTAGGCTTTTAGTTTTTGAAGTCCCCTTGTTTCTAGTAATTAAAACATTTTAGGGATAATAATATTAATACTATTTCTGCCTCTTTACATACTATTTCAAGTTAGATTATTTTAGAATAGCAACATTTGCAAAAGTATCTGTTCAGGACTTCTTTTTATCCTATTGTGTGACCAAGGACCTAGTGTGGAGGGAAGGCCTTCTGTCACTCTGACTACCTAAGTGACTCTCAACCCTCTTACCAGCTGACCAGAACTTTTAGCATGATAGAGCCAGCAGATGAAATCTGAAGACTCAATTTTTAATAAAGGGAAGTGGGGGAAAAAAGTAAGATTTTTTTTTAATGCTGTGTATTTTCTAAAGATTTGTTCTCTGTCTTCACGTTCTTCTAAGCCTTTTGGCTAAGATCAAGTGAAAATTTGTTTTCTGCACTTTTTCTAAACCTTAGCAATTGAAGATCTTTTCATGACAGGTTATGTAGATAAAAATCTAAATGAAAAAATATAAGATTTCAGCAAAACTTTTTTTTAAGATAAAGTCTCTCTATATTACCCTGGCTGACTTGAAACTTTCTATATAGACCAGACTGACCTCTGCCTTCTGAGTGCTAAATTTAAAAAAAAAAAAAAACAGTTACATGGTCAAGTATTAGTGCCTTTGTTTAATGTGATGGTGCACTCCTATAATCCAGGATTTGTGGGGCAGAGGCAGGAGGATCAGCAGTTGAAGGTCATCCTTGGCTACATAGTGAGTTTGAGGCCACCTGAGCTCCATGAGATTCTGTGCCAAAAAAAAAAAAAGAAAAAGAATAGTGAGTTCTTGGCCAGCTAGGGCTACAAAGAAGGGAAGGAGGGAGGAGGGAGGAGGAAAGAAGGAAAGAAAGAAAGAAAGAAAGAAAGAAAGAAAGAAAGAAAACCTTAGTGCTCTTGTAAGCAAGCTTATTCTCTGCCAGATGTTATGGCACCTTCCTCTAAATGTTCTGGATAGATAGAGGTGTAGTAGTACATAGACTTGACTCAAATCATGGCTATTACATCTCCAATAATCCTCTTAACCTGTAAACTAAGGGGAAAAGAGACATTTTTTACTATTTTTCAATTGTTCTTTGATAATTTCATGAGTGCTCTTGTAAGCAAGCTTATTCTCTGCCAGATGTTATGGCACCTTCCTCTAAATGTTCTGGATAGATAGAGGTGTAGTAGTACATAGACTTGACTCAAATCATGGCTATTACATCTCCAATAATCCTCTTAACCTGTAAACTAAGGGGAAAAGAGACATTTTTTACTATTTTTCAATTGTTCTTTGATAATTTCATGCACGTATACAATGTGTCTGTCTCACACCCACCCCAGTCTGCCTCACCTAATGCTTTCAGGCACCCCAACAGCACCCTTCCTGCCCCACCCCCAGTCCGCCCCTCCCACCCTCAGACACCCCAACAGCACCCTTCCTGCCCCATCCCAAGTCCACCCCCCTCCCCTCAGACACCCCAATAGCACC